TGTTAGGCGTATGCTAACAGAGTAATCGTGGGAATGGACACATTCCCAGCAGGGAGGAACCATATTCCTTGTTTGCCAAACTCACCTCCTAGTTAGTTTTACGTGGACGCCTGGATTTCACAGTCCGCTTTACTGTCTGTCGGATGCCATTGTCACCTCGGCTCGTTGTATGCATGTTTGCGTTCTGTTTGTTTATTCACGGATCGAAAATCTGTGACTGTTCGCACGCTGCGTCGCCCGTTCCGCTATCTACGCGCCTACAACAGCCGAGCATTTTGTCGGCGAATTTGTGCGCGTGGGCCTGAGCTTGTTCCATGATACTTGGTTGCGCTGAAATCAGCTGCGCTTACGACTGTAGCCCCGTTATCACTCGCTCTCGTTTAACACTGGTTGCTGTTTGTGGAGTGGAGTAGTCATCCTGCGAACAGGACCAAGTGTATGGAAACAGTTGTGTCACATTGCCGTCAGATCATTTAATATTTCCCGGTAGTCAACGTGCGATTCCTCTTTAAGATAACAGCATCATCAATAATTGCTCTCAATGAAGGCTAGAACGATTGGAGTGACCGCTCTCTATCCTTTGCTCTCATGTGCACAAAGTTTTTGTTTCGTCCGTCGCCGTACTGTGCCTTTTTGACCTATTCGCCGTAACCAGCCGGCCGTATCAAAATGCAAGATCGGACGCGTCCGGGATTTGAACCTGAGATCATTTGATTAGTGAGCCAAATACTCTATCAGTTGAATTAAGCGCTCATTATTCTCTGTTATCCTCCTGAAATCACAGTAGACCAGTAAAAGTCACTCTCATTCCCGATCGTAGATGACAGGACTTGGGTCCGTGACATAAAGTGCGATGCACAGTATGGCTAACTCTGCATGCAAATGTCTAAGTTTATAAAAGTTTGATCATTACTCGCATACCGGCGTGAACGTATTTACTACAAATTAGAAATAATAATGTACAGCATTAGGCACATTAAGTACTTCAAAAAATAAGAAGTCCTGAGTGTTTGTTAAGGAAAATAAAATTTCCCCGATAATCCCATAGTTCCGGCGACGTAAAAATTAGGTAACCACTTTCTTTATATAAAAAGAACTTTTCTTTTCTCCAATTTTTTATGGATAATTATTTATTTAATATCGTCCTTTAAATTCTAGCATAAATTCCAGCGTTTTCAGTGTCCTCATGTGTTCATCCATCAATTGAGCTTGTGTTCGGCGTTTACATCTAAACCTTTAAAATAAGCTAGATATAAAGAGCATTTACCGAAAAAATGAGTTTTTGGATATTAGTTCTTGTGAAGATGGCCATGTGGGTCATATTTAGAAATGCCTCAAAACAGCAAACCACATTGTCAAGCACAAGAAACGTCTGAAAGGTAACTGTGATATCGTTATTCCTAAGATTAATGAAAAAAACTTTCTATAATAGGCTACCTCTTTAAAAAAGTGCTTTAATTGGATATTCAGCTGACGAATTTCTGTGTATAGTACATTTATCCAGGGTAATGTCAAAATTAAATTGGAGGCTTTTAAGAACTATATTTAATTTACATAAACATAAACGACTCAGTTTGACTGGAGATTAAAGGACGTACGTTTCTTTTTATAATGGATTATTTTCCGCCATAGTGGATTACTTCCGGGTTCTGTTATAAGCTTGCGAGTGCAAAAAAACCGCCCTATGTGTGGTTATTTTTTGAAATAATAATAATTCTTCTGTTTTTGCCAGTTCTAAATAACGCATAAGCGGAACGTATAGTTTACAAAAACGTATATTTCTAGAAGAATTGCATTTAATAAGGCCTGTTTTACATTGCCTACACGGTAACATATGTGAACACTTTGCTTATTCGCCATGTAGACGATGCGGCAAAACAAAATGCGACCAAAAAGTTTTTGTTACCGCATTTTGTGCGAAAAAATTCACAAGTTAGCTAAACATAATTTTTAAAACATTAATCTTCCCTTTCTTCTGAACTTGGCCTCATTTGCATCTGAAGAATTTCGGGCAAAATTTTCCGGTTCTGAAAGGGATATGTTCTACACTTTTTTCTGCTAATGTCTCTGATGATGAATCCGCGACGGATGTAGAAACTTCAGGTGAATAAAAATATAGTTCCAGCGATCGAGTCGTCTTCTTCTCTTTTTTTGAGTTCTTCCATAGCACAATGCATATTCATCAAAATTTTGGTTCTGTCGCACTCAATAGCATAGGAACTTCCTTCAATATGATACGACTCCAAATTTTGCCAAACCTAATGCACATTACCCTGAATAAACTTAACCAAAAGGGCCATTTTCTTAACAAAAAGGCATCCGCAGGATTAAATCTTCCCAGAGGATCAAAATACCGCAACAAAATATGTGCTAAACTACCAAATAAAATGTGTCATGAAATTTGCATGCAGGACTCGCCATACTGTGTATGAGTCAGTACTCTGCAGTCAACTAACTGCGATCCTCCCGGTCGTCGGATGGCGCACAAGTGACTGGGGACGCCATAAATGACAATCCCAGTCTTGCCTTTTTTCGGCCTCACTTCTTGACTTCGTATTTTCCGTGGTTGAGTTACCGCCTTAGACGACTCTAGTCTGGAGCTCCATGTCGAAATATAATAGCTCGCATTGTCTTCTGCATTCAAGGTAAAACAGTTAGCGTACTCCCATAGGTACTGGACCATTCTCACTAACATGCTGTGAGAACCAGAAATCCCCATAGCTCTGGCCATATGTATCATAATTTATCGAGTAATGTTCGTGGCACCGTGATAACGCGAAATTGCCTTCGCTTTTTTTACCTGTCATTTTAGTCGTCTTTTTTTATCTTCAGCTACAAAGTTTCCCATAAAGTGGACGGCACCGGAAGCCACCATGTCGGAACACCGTTTCAGCACAAAGTCTGATGTTTGGTCTTTTGGTATTCTCATATATGAGATCGTCACCTACGGCTGTCCCCCCTATCACGGTGAGTGCCTCCTCCTCTTCTCATTCCTTTTTTCTTTGCTTGTCTCTTATTCTTCTTTCGTTGGAATTGGCTATACCGTTGTCTGACCGGTCAAAAGGGTCAGCTGTCCGGTTCCAAATCTTACATGCTACATTTTGCATTGGCCTAAATCCCGCTCCCTCTCAGTGCCCTATTTGTACGTCGTCTTAACTGGCCAAGATGTCTGTGATTGCATTGGATTGCAACTCTTTACTTGCTGGTATGTTGATAATTGTAGCCAAGGCATTTGTCATCGTTGCTGGCCTTCCATTCCTGAATTACTCTCTTAGAGAAGAACTTTCTTGGGTCCAATCTTGCCCCAGTCACACGTAGTTTGAGAGGATGTCCGCGCAAGTTATTGGCAGTTGGATGTGAGGCAGCAATCCTGAACCCGCAGCATGCAATATGCCTGTATTAGGTCACCGCGTAGCTGTCTGTAATCCAGAGAAAACAATTCAAGAGTAGACAAGCGTGTCTCCTAAGGCAGGTACCCTTGCCCTCCTTCTAGTCTGGTTGCGCGTCGTTGAACCCTTTCAAGG